TTTTCGAGAGACCTCAACACAAATTGTTACGGAAGATCGTTAGTTGAATTATGCATTGAAAATAATTTAGTTGCATTGAACGGTAGGACTAAAGGTGATTTAACTGTTCAATTTACTTGTAATACATATAATGGATCAAGTGTCGTGGATTACGCTATTGTTGCGCAGGAGTTATTTCCACTCATCAACAGTTTTACAGTAGACTACCCGACTGAGTTTTCTCACCATTCTTGTTTAAATTTCGTAATGAGAATCAAAATACCTAAACATCCGAATGTCAATATGGAGGTATTGAATAAACCAATATCTTTTTTATGGGATGAGACTAAGAAACAAGATCTTTATGATGTTATGAGTTCTGAAGATACTGTTAACAAAATAGAGTCATTATTCTGTGAACAAAATGATGCAGATAGCAGTTTAGTTGATATTGATGTGATTGTTAACAATTCTCTGAAATATTATGTGAATCATCTCTGAAAATACTAAAACGTAAAAAGCAAATTAATAAAAACAAGAACAAAAAACAAAGACAGAAATGGTACGACGAAAACTGTCATACGCTCAAAAAGAATCTAAGAAATTTGGGGAAATTACTGACAAAGTATCCCAATGATCCCTTTTTACGCCATAATTTCTTCGCAAAAAGAAAAGAATATAAAAAGTTAATAAAGAAAATGAAGAGAAAGTTTCATAATTCATTGCTGGAGAAAATTCAAAATTTATCTGATAGAAATCCTAATGAATTTTGGAAGTTAGTCAATACAATAAAGACAAATAAATCTTCGGGAACCTGTAATGAAATATCGCCAACCGAGTGGTTTGATTATTTTGAAAATTTAAATAGATTCAATGTGTAACACAGTGTTTATATTTTTGCGACAGAATTTTATTAATTCTGTTAACAAAATTAACCAATCATTTAAATATTTTGATACACAAAGTTTGTTCCATTATATACTAAGTATGAAAGATAGAAATATTCTGAAATTATCTTCAAAATATTGCTACGATATACTAAGAACTTTTGACATATTGCATGAGTTAGCCTGAATAAATTATTTGTAAGTTTATATACTGTAATGTCTTTTTTATATTTTATTTTTTGTAACTAATGTATATGTAGGTATTCAATGTATCAATATTGGTATTTGTTTGAATAAAGTTTCTCTCTTTATATATTCATTAGGTATATATGTTTATATCATAGGACTGGTCTTATATTCACCGAATGGTGTGCTAATAAAAAACTAATTTAAACTAATTATAAACTGAATATATAGTGAGGTTATAGAGTATTCCTCGCCTGATTTTTTAAGCCAATGTTTAGAAATATTTTGCCTTAATACCTCAATAAAATATACCTTAATAAAATATACTTTGATAAAATATATGCAAATAACTAAAATATATATCTTTATCAAGCAGCAATAGGATCCACGTGTAGACTTCACATTTGATCAAACGTGACTGCGCTATATACTGTATTATAGCATCAGTTTTTTATGGTGATAATTGTTGTGGAGTCAAGACATGCTTTTATTGTAAAAACGAATGATTGGTATCGCGCGGTTTATTCATTTGTTGCTTAAAATGGTCGCTGCCACCAAAGTCGCATACCAAATCTGTAAACGAGTAGTTATATAATTATTATTAGGCTACTGTTCTTTTGAAGCCGCCGTTTTTAGTCAAATACAGGCTTCTCGTTCGCTGCGCTCACTCTTGAGATATCATGTTCAACAGTCGAAACAAATCTGGTATTTCCGCGCATCCATGAGATTATTCTCTATGTTATATAGGCATGGATAAGAATGCTATGTGGATACACATAATGGTATAAATAATGAAAAAAATGATGTTAAAATCGACATACCGTATATTGTTCCATTTGATTTCGACAAACAGGAATGTAGGGACAAATACTTGAAACACCAAACCCTCGGCCTGTTATGCGGTTTTGTAGAAAACCTGGCGTACAAAACATTTTATATTTGATGCGTATTCAAGTTTGACAACATTCAATGATATCCTCTCATATTTGTATTAATTTAAGTTCCTTTTACAACGTTTATAGATCTTTCAAAGCTTCCAAATCATGAGGCGCACAAGGAAAATATACAAGATTCAAAGTCCAACAGTTTTCACGAAATTTGATTCTTGGCGACGCCAATACACGCAGTGATTTGATTGGCGCACAACACAGTTAAACGCTTTCAGTGATTGATTGTTGTCAAATCACGCACAGACGCGCAATTATTCAAACGCTAAATACTATATTCATAAATATACTATGAACTGTAGAGAAAAGAAAACCCCTCCTGACTCTCTATCAAAGGTCGTTACGTGGTTTTCGAGAATTCGAGTGTTGAATATCGAAAGATCTTAGAAGTGATGTGAATGCATAAGGTGAATGCTTGCATAGTTATGTTGTATTGGTTGATGACTGAAAGCGGAAAGGTAATTCAAAATAACATATTCGATATCTTGTCATATTGCCTATCTTTATCGTTTTATTAAATATCCATTTGCCATATCAGGTACACTTAACTAGCTTTCGCTTACGAAGTTATAAACTGATTGGCACAAAGTCAGGTCTTACGCTACTAATAAAACCAGGCCCATATATTTTTTGCCACTACAGTTTATTAATTAAGCAGTGGTTTATTATTCATATTAATCTTTTTCTATAGCGAACATGTTCACCCCAAACAAACCAAACGGCGTTGCTACTGGACTGTTTGTTGCAACATTTTTGAACTGGCTTAAAATAAGCTTTGAAGAAACGACTGATGCGCATGACATAGAATCTAATTAATATTTTGTTGACATTGTAAATACAACTACGCAAGCAACACTGGCGTTTGAATATTGTTTAATTTTATATAGACAGTGCAGTTCTCTGTGATATACTATATGTATTTAGCATCTACACTTTTGCAACCCCAATATTTATTTAAAACCAGAACGGTATTTAACTTTTTTTGTGCAGAGCTTGGTTTGATTATAATATTTAGCCAATATTTGAATAAGTCTGAATTATTTCATGGCAACATATTGGCGTGAAAATCTATTACGTTGTTACACATGTTTGGCAAAATTTGCGCATGTTTAAAATATCTCGCTAAACCGTAAAATTACGGGACATGCTACTCTTGGCAAAAACGCCTAGGCGATTGTGGAATTTGGAGAAAATTATGGATTTTCCAAAGTATTATAAAAAAAAACCTTCAATCGAATATCCCTGTATATAATATTTCGTGTTATTTGAAAGTGTCAGAATTTCTGATACTTTGGAGTTTGGACTTCTGCATGGTCTCTGCAGTTTTCAGTGTATTTGTGATTTAGCCGCATTTGAAGGTATCAGAATTTCTGATACTTTCGGTAGTCTGCGGTCTCTGCAGTATTCAGTGCATTTGTGATTTAGAAGCATTTGAAACTGTCAGAATTTCTGATACTTTGGACGTCTAGTTTCTGCAGTTTTCAGTGTATTTGTGATTTAGCCGCATTTGAAGTATATGATATATAGCAATGAAGGCAGCTGTTGTGAGCTTTGGACCGCTAGTTTTTTCGATATTTATATTGTTAAATTACCGTCCTACGGTTTTTGACCGACATGAAGAGTTTCCTAAGGTTATGGTACAGACCATATGGGAAAATAAGATCTCTCCATCACTGTTGAGCGATGTATGTGGGCAAACAGTTATTATCGGACTTGGCCGACTTGGAAAAGTCTCCCTGTTGAAGTATGGATTTCGAAAGACTCGTATGAGCCTCTCCAGATGGTCAAAACATGGCCAAACTACACTACTGGTGGCCGGACATGATCCTCCTATTGACATTACCATGTATCTGGACATATCTATTAATCCTGGCCCACAATTGTCGAATACGATCGAAACTATAATCACAAACAGAACAGAATCTACGCCAAGAAATCGATTTCGCCATTATTCAAATTTAGTGCAAATTCCTCTGGCTGCACCGACTATTGTTTATAACAATACAGCGCGACTAATTAAATGTTGCGTATTGAACGCTCAATCACTTAGAAACAAAGGTCCTGAATTTGTTGACTATATTTGTGATTCGGAAATCGATATTGCCGTTATTACTGAAACTTGGCTGAAATCTGCTGATGCTGCTGCTAAAATCGCTGCCACACCAACTGGATCCTTTTGGATTTAAGCGCTGCGTTCGATACAGTGGATCATGAGATTTTACTGTCACGCTTGTCTTCGAGTTTTGGCATTTGGGGAAAGACTCTAGAGTGGTTTTCTTCATATTTGTCAGGGCGTAGCCAGCGCATCGTGTTTGACGGAGTTACATCAGACAGCTGTGATGTGCGCTTCGGGGTCCCACAAGGGAGTTGCCTTGGTCCACTTCTCTTTGTTATGTACGCTTCAAAGCTTTTTGAGATTGTTCAAGCACACCTCCCTGATGCCCATGGTTTTGCCGATGATACGCAATTATACCTGTCATTCAATCCTAATAATCCAGCTCATCAAACGGAGGCGGTGTCTGGCATGGAGGGATGTATTAGTGACTTGAGGAAATAGATGTATCAGGACAAGCTAAAGTTAAATGACGATAAAACTGAATTTCGTATCATCGGATCTAGATAACAGATTTTGAAAGTTAACCCTTGTACGATTCGCGTTGGCAATACCGAGATCAAGCCAGTTTCGGAAGCGCGTAATCTGGGCTCTTGGTTTGATTCAAATTTATCCATGTCCACCCATATTTCTAAGTCTTGTGGTGCTACATTTTGCTGGCTACATAAAATCAAGCGCATAAGTAAATTCCTTGCAAAGGATCAATTAGAAATGATCTTGCATGCCTTTGTTACAAGTAGAATTGACTATTGCAACGAACTTCTCTATCGATTGCCGGACTGTGACATAGTTAAATTACAGCGAGTTCAGAACGCTGCGGCCAGGCTGCTAACGTCTACTAGCAAGTACAGCCATATTACGCCTGTTTTACAGGAACTACACTGGTTGCCAGTTAGGTTTAGGATTCATTTTAAGATTTTACTTTTAACTTTCAAAGCTCTTAACGGCTTGGCGCCAGATTATATCTGGGAACTTATTAAGATAAGGAAACATGAACGTTACTCGCTCCGTTCCAATTCGGGTATTATCATCTCACATCCAGTGGGGAAGATGTTAAAATCATTCGTAGACAGATCTTTTAGAGTGGCTGCGCCAGCACTCTGGAATGCACTTCCTGTAAGCCTTCGGAGTATCAGTTCTCTTTCAATTTTTAAATCCTCTCTGAAAACATATCTTTTTAAGCTAGCTTTTAGCCTCCATTAAATGTATATATTTAAGATTATTAATAGTTGCATGTATAATAAAGTGTATTGTAATGCGCTTTTGATCATTGTATGTAAAAAGCGCAATATAAATTATTAAATTATTATTATTACTATTCTGATACTTTCGGTAGTCTGCGGTCTCTGCAGTTTTCAGTGTATTTGTGATTTAGAAGCATTTGAAAATGTCAGAATTTCTGATACTTTGGACGTCTAGTTTCTACAGTGTCTGGTCTCGGCTGCTTTAATAAGAGTACCTAAACTATATAGAAAACAATGTATGACACTTTTATATATTTCCTACCCAATGGAGTGTTGCAAATTTCGTTATTTATCCAAGGTGATTTTGAAATCGTAAGATATTGTCGCATGTATTGCAGATATTATAATTTTTTACGGAGGCGGTATTTTTATCTGCAAAATTGGGCTGTTTTGAACGACAAGTTTTTGGGGTCAGCAAAATGTTGTAAATAAGGCTGTTTTTGTCGAAAAAATATTATTTTGGAAAATGCAAAGATAGTTTGGAAAAATGAAATTCTTAGTTACTTTCACAATGAAATGTATTTACCCCAAGAACAAACAAACACTATTTGGAATTTGGAAATTTTATTATTTTTTAAAATTTCAGCGATTTTTCGGTCCCGCGCCGTCGCGCAGAAAATCCTCTGCCTAAATTAGGAATAAAAATTAGCCGAATTCAAATACATATAATTTTAAAAGTATTCAACCAAATTTCATGATTTTTTCACCCACCAACGTGAAAATTATTCTACTTTGAAACTTGTCTTGTTTTATGATGCATTTACAGAACGATTATGGCAAACTTACATGCGATAACAAGCACTGGGTCTAAATACGGCTTTGTACACATATCAAATTCGACTTTAAATTTCTCAAAAGTGGCACCTAACTGGATTCAGTGACTAATATGGTTAAAAAAAGGGAAGTTTGAAGTACCCATATCCATAATAAAACTTGTTACCAACCGCGATTTGAAGACTCGACAGCCTCTGAAATTTGATACAATTTGGCTATTTTGTTTAGCTTCAATTATAGCGGAGTTGAGACGTCAGAGCTTCCAGTCACTTGTAAAATGCGCTGTTGTTCCGTTTTTTTGCACAAGCCGTTTAGCCGTTACTATCATCGTAGTTGAGCGATTTTTCTGTGTTCATGAACATCACAAGTGGATTTCATTCGAAAAGATTTCGATCGATGCAGCGAGGTAAACGTGGTACGTTTTCGTATTAAAATTTAACTACTCGGGGAAAACCCGGAAATTATTGTCAATGCTGATATTTATTAATCTAAACTCTGTATGTCTATTCTGGCAAATTCTGAACGATTGGAAATGAATTTAAACTGGAAAAAAGACTTGATCTAGAAGATTACTATAGATACTGATTATTATAAAAAGATCCAGTTGCAATCGTGCATGCCAATTGAATTGGATTTGGATTATAGTTTGAATAAGGGTTTTGATTAGTGTTTCAACCAGGGCTTGGCTGAAATTTAATAGAATAGTCATATATGGAATAGTCTCCAAATGACCCCCACCCCAACTCTATCCTGACCCCTACCCTACACCCACCCCACCTCTATTGTGATGTCATTTGAAGACGTTTATATCAACTTCACCTGGAATTTGTTTAAGGAGAGCTAATAAAGGGTGAAGTTTATTTTCATACAAGAGTTTTCAAATGACGTCACAAAAACGCGAGGTTGGGGTAGGGTTGGGTTTGGGGCAGAGTCGTACTGGGGGTGTGGGTAGGCCAGGGCATGTGGGGACTCTTATACGAAACGTCGGCCAGAATAATGGTAGAAACTGTTCACGATGTATTTAAAATGGGGAATGTTAATTAATGCGTAAATTACCCCTATAATGTATAGTATCATGTGAAGATATAGTTGGGAAACGAAATTGTCAAATATATACTAATGTATTGCTGTGCATTACACGGAAGAGAAGCTATTGAAACAAGACAATTCGTCATGTTTCTGGTTTTCTGCTAATAAATGGCAGTAATTGTTGCACGATTAAACTGTTTATGACGGGAAGTGCCAAAATTAGCAATGACTCTATTTTACCTCGCTTACCTCGCCGTAACGTTTACCTCGCTGCATCGAGCCAAATCTTTTCGAATTAAAACAACTTGTGATGTTCGTGAACACGGAAGAATCGCTTAACGGCTTGTGCGAAAAAAAAACCCGGAACGACAGCGCATTTTACAAATTACTTGAAGCTCTGACGTCTCAACTCCGCGATAACTGAAGGTAACAAATTTCAGAGGCTCTGGAGTCTTCAAATCGCGGTTGGTAACAAGTTTTATTGTGGATATTGGCACTTCAAACTTCCCTTTCTTCGAGCATATTAGTCACTGAATCCAGTTCGGAGCCACTTTTGAGAAATTTAAAGTCGAATTTGATATGTGTACAAAGTCTTATTTGGACTTGGTGCTTGTTATCGCTAACGTTTGCCATAATAGTTTTGTAAAAGCATCATAAAATCAGGTAAGTTTCAAAGTAGAATAACTTTCACGTTCCTGGGCGAAAAAATCATAAAATTTGGTTCAACACTTTTAAAATTATATGTATTTGCATTCGGCTAATTTTTATGCCTTCTTAGACAGAGGATTCTGCACGACGGAAAATCGCTGAAATTTTAAAAATAAATAAAATTTCAAAATTCGAAACTGTGACTGTGTTTGTTTATTCTTGGGATAAATACATCTCATTGTGAAAGTAGCGAAGAATTTCATTTTTTGAGCCTAGAGCCATTGGTCGGTTCTTAGAGAGATAGCCTCTTAAATTCATTTCCAATCGTGCAGAATAGACATACAGAGTTTAGATGAATAAATATCAGCATTGACAATAATTTCCGGGTTTTCCCTAGTAGCTAATTTTAATACGAAAACGTACCACGTTTACCTCGCTGCATCGATCGAAATCTTTTTTAATTAAATCCACTTGTGATGTTCATGAACACAGAAAAATCGCTTAACTTCGATGATATTAACGGCTTGTGTAAAAAAACGGAACAACAGCGCATTTTGCAAGTAACTGGAAGCTCTGACGTCTCAACTCCGCTATAATTGAAGCTAAACAAAATAGCCAAATTGTATCAAATTTCAGACGCTGTCGAGTCTTCAAATCGCGGTTGGTAACAAGTTTTATTATGGATATTAGTACTTCAAACTTCCATTTTTTAACCATATTAGTCACTGAATCCAGTTAGGTGCCACTTTTGACAAATTTAAAGTCGAATTTGATATGTGTACAAAGCCGTATTTAGACCCGGTGTTTGTTATCGCTAAAGTTTGTCATAATCGTTCTGTAAAAGCATCATAAAACAAGACAAGTTTCAAAGTAGAATAATTTTCACGTTGGTGGGTGAAAAAATCATAAAATTTGGTTGAATACTTTTAATATTATATGTATTTGAATTCAGCTAAATTTTATGCCTGATATAGGCAGAGGATTTTCTGCGCGACGGCGCGGGACCCAAAAATCGCTGAAATTTTAAAAATTAATAAAAATTCCAAATAGTGTTTGTTTGTTCTTGGGGTAAATACATTTCATTGTGAAAGTAACGAAGAATTTCATTTTTTGAGCCGAGAGTCATTGGTCGGTTCTTAGAGAGACAGCCTCTTAAGCGTTCAGATTTTAGTGTTTTTGTCCAAAATATTGGGCAACACCCACCTGGCTTTGTTTTTGGTATCCAAAACTACAATGCCACAGTCTTGAGCGCGAATGAGCGGTGTAGAACTGTACGAATAAGAGTCTGGAGAGTGCCATACAGTAGAATTTCTTTTTCATGCCACAGGTAGAATATGAATTTTATAAAAGTTTTAATGCCACTTTTTTCCGACTTTAGTGGGAAAGTATAGTTAATCTTAAATTACGCAGTAGATTTTACCTTTATATTATAAATTCTTTTGCTAAAAACTTGAGGTTTTTGGCCTTAATAGACGTATTAATGTATTATTTTCCATTTTTTAAAAAAAATTCCAGCTCGCCATTTTTTACAGTACTCAATAGCTTGCTGCTCACACTTGAAACATTGGCCATCTTTTTATTTGCAAAAAAAAGAAAGAGGCTTCAACGCCCATTTCATTGGACACTATGATTTGCATAATTAAATTATAAATAAACAGTTATATGGCAAGCATAAAATTGCTCTCAGCCCCTCATGAAGTATTCCAGCTTAATTACCTATTATAAATATATTCAAGGTCTATCCATCACTTCAGCAGGCGCATCATTGCATCAAAACAAAGTAAAACAACAAATTCCAAACATTTTCCAATCAAAGTATCAACAGAAATATACCAACAACTATACAGACAGGTGTGCTGGAAAGGAAGCCAAGGAAATATACCAACAACTATACAGGCACGTCTGCTGGAAAGGAAAACAATGAAATATACCAACAACTATAAAGACAGGTGTGCAGGAAAGGAAGCCTATATATACCAATAACTATACATACAGGTGTTCTGAAAATATAGGCCTAACTATAAAGAGCTTCAGGACATGCACAACCTCTTGAAATAAAGCAGTTTAAATATGAAGGTTTATGAATGTTTATGAAATGAAGGTTTACTTATTCAACTTCATTCATATGATTTGTGCAATCCAATGAAATATATACCTTTATGTTTTCATTTCTATTTATTAAGCTGCAGAGCTTCCTCATTGACAAGTAAAATCGTCTGGCGCTAGACAAGGAAAAAAAAATAAGTGGGGCGGACTGGGCCGCATTGCGGCTTAATGAATTAATTTAAGGCTCACAAGATGCCGATCGGAAATTCATAATATGGTAAGGTATAAAATTTCAGGTTTGCAACCTGAAAAATATCTACTTGTTGACAAACTTTGGGGAACAATCCAGCAACTCCAACAGCATTACATGCATCTGCATTTGACACAAATGGACAAGGAACAGAATATTTATTTCACAATTTTTGAACTGTCCAAAATACAAAATATGAAATAAGCAACTTCAGCTACAGAATTCAAATATATTGTAAAATGCATCCTTATGAAAATATGCTAACCTAGGCTACATGGCAGATAATTTCACATGCAAATCATAACTGCAAAAATTTGTCAATTTAACCCTTTAAGTGGCATAATGGTGCATAATCCAAGTGTCCTTATCTGAGAACTTACCTCAGTGAACTAATTCAAAAAATTTGGCTATCTGGAACTGTCCCGAATGAATGGAAAAAAGCCTGTACTATATTAATACATAAGAAATGCAACACTGATGATCCATCAAATTTCCTTCCCATGACACTTGAGTCCATACCATTAAAAGTATATACATCCTGTCTTCCAAACGCAATGTATACCTTCCTCGCATCCAATAACTTTATCGAACACGGCATACAAAAAGGCTTCACCCCTAACCTATCTGGCACTCTAGAACACACTGCGCAAATGGCTGACATCATTAACAAAGCCCGCATCAGACAACGCTCTGTTGCCATCACCCTACTTGATCTGAAGAATGCTTTCGGCGAAGTCCATCATAATCTCATCCAATCAGTACTCGACTACCACCACATCCCAGAACACATAAAATTCGTTATAAAAAGTTTATACACTGATTTCCAAACCTCAATAATTACCTCCGAATTCCGCACCCCTTTTATATCTGTTGGCCGTGGCGTATTGAAAGGGGATTGCCTCAGTCCTCTTCTTTTCAATACATGCTTCAATACTTTCATCCAACATATCAAAGCTGAAAAATACCGTCAGTTTGACTTCTCCTTCAAGCTATTAAATCCTATCCACTGGTTCCAGTTCGCTGATGACGCAGCCGTAATCACTGGCCAAGAATCTGAAAACCAGCATCTCTTAAATCGTTTTTCCATCTGGTGCCAATGGTCCAATATGATTATCAGAGTCGATAAATGTAGTACCTTTGGCATCAAGAAAGCCATCACAAAATCAGTCCAATATTTGCCCAAACTCCTCATCAACAATAATCTGATACCAGCAATAAAGATTGGAGAAGCATTTCAATATGTAGGACGTTACTTTGATTTTAACATGTCGAATAACAACCATAAGACTGAACTAACCACTCTCGTTAACGAACTAATGACTGATATTGACTCGAAGCCACTCCACCCAAGAAATAAGCTTCTCGTGTACAGTCGTTATGTCTTATCCAAATTATCCTGGCATTTCACCATCGCAACACATTCTAAAACATGGGTTATTGAAAATATTGATCCTGCAGTCAACCAATACATTCGTAAATGGCTTGAAATTCCAATGTCAGGAACACTAAGTACTGTTTTTCTAACCCGTAACAAATTTGGTCAAAGTATTTGCCCTCCATCGGTGAAATTTATCCAATGCCAAACAGTTCTTCGAAAAGCTTTAAAACTTTCTCCTAATCAATCAATTAACGAACTGTGGAAATCTACTAATACTCATACTAATGGCCAAAACGACTTTTATAACTCAACCAAAGAAGTGCTTAAAGATTTTCGCTCTGAACATGAAGATAAACTCAAAAACCAATTAACTTGTCAGGGATCCTTTTTCTCTAATGTAACAAGGTTCTCCTTGTTGCATCTTAACAAAGTGTGGTCTACTGCTCAATCAAAACTTCCGAAAAACATTTATAACTTTACTATACGCTATATTAATAACTCTCTTCCGACACGTAAGAACCTTAGCAGAACCTAATCATTACTGCACGTGGTCGCTGGATGTCAGTGTTATCTCGATCGATTTACGTGGAGGCACAATTCAACCTGAACTTTCTTGCCAATACCTTGCAAACTGTGAATGGTTCTGCCCTCTACGCTGATGTGCCCGGATTCAAAAGTCCGTCAATGATAACTGGTGATACGTATCGCCCAGATTTGTTGCTATCATTATCAAATGGCTCTCTCTATGTGGTCGAGCTCACAGTTGGCTATGAGACAAACCTCGCGAACAACGTTAAACGGAAAAAAGCCAAATATAGAGAATTAGTAAAACAGTTAGGTGAAAATTTTAACGAAATAAACTTTGTCAATCTTTCCATGAGCTCCCTAGGTATTTTTGCGCAAGAATGCTCCACATTCTTAGAAATGTTAGGAAATGTTGGTCTCGACAAAAACTACAAAACGTACTGTGTTAGGAAAATGATAACTATTGCCATTCGAAGTACTTATTACATTTTCTGCTGTCGAAATAAGGAATGGGAAAGTCCGGACTTGTTAACTATTTGAAATATTTGATTGTCTTGTATATTTATATATTTTTATGTATTCAGTTTTGTCATTTTTATTAGTTCATAGTTGTGATTCAAATAGCCAATTGTAAGTTACCTTAATTAGTGAGATTTACAATTGTATATATATATATAATATATAACTGAAAATTATTCATTAAATAAAGTTTCCATTATTATTATTATTATTATTATTATTATTATTATTATTATTATTATTATTATTATTATTATTATTATTATTGTTATTGTTATTATTATAATTATTATTATATTATTATTATAATTATTATTATTATTAAATCAATAGGTATAAGTGCGTTATGTCCGACCTGAATTTAAAAGTTAAGAACTTGGAAAACGAAAAGAATAGTTTAGTTACGGTCATTAAAATTATTCAAAACGATCAAGAACAACAACAGGCATCATGGAATGTTGTCAACAACCGCAAAAATACCACAGAGGGACGAAATACGTCAGCCCATAATCCTGTTGGTACAAACTGAAATGTCAAAGCAAAAGAATCAGTGCAACAAAAGAATCAGTATACTGCCTTAAGTATATCGGACGTAGACGATAGTGAATCAGACAGCAATAATGTATCTGATAACGGTAGCGACGACATTACCGCGACACAGTCCCAAAACAAGACCAACGACACGAAAGAAACCGACACTCTAAAAAAGATTCACAGAAAGTCAAAGAAGCAAATATACCTAAAAACACGAAGCACAACCGCCCTACTGTTGCCATTCTGGGTGACTCCATGTTAAAACACTTGAATCCAAGGAAAATTCAACACGGATTGGACCATAAAGTCACGATTAAAACTTTCCTGGGGCCGGTGTAGACGAGATGATAAATTACGTTAGACCAACACTTCAGAAAAAGCCTACGTCTTATACGTAGGTAGGAACGACCTTCAAACCAAATCACCAGATACATTAATAATGGCGATAAGCAGACTCGGAGAAACAATTACTCAAGAAGGAAATGGAAATGAACTTACACTCTCGGAAGTTATATCTAGAAATGATAATGCGAATCTTGCCGACAAGGTAAATGTTTTTAATAAGAAACTAGATGAACTATGTACTGAGCATAACTGGGGTCTTATTAAACATGATTATATAACTAAAGTTCATCTCAATAATTATGGACTACATCTAAACCAAAGAGGGACATCTACCCTTGCAGGAAACGTAAAACAATTTTTAAAAAACCAAGTGTTTGATTGAAATCAAGATACCGTCAATAATACATATCGTAATACAAATGCAAATTATGCCGACTATCCGAAAACAAGAGGTTTTAAAATTGCCCACATAAGGTAATTCCGCAGTCACTAATTGTTCCCGAAATGAGAATGTGCTGAAACTTCCCAGGCATGGAGTTTATGATATACTTAAAGTAAAATCACACAAAAAAGTCGGGGTCACCGAACTCGTTAAGAAGATATGACAATCACAATATATCACCTTTACGGCTTTACCCCAATATGGCGCCATCTTGACGCTCATTACGGGTAGCAGCAAACTCACAACAGCCCGATATTTATTGACGTTTTTAGCGCGGATTTTGCTTTAGTAAACCTATCTTGTAATTATTTTTGAAAAGATATTGTGTTTTTAGCGAAATGAAACTACCAACGTGTACAATTCTGATCCACAAATGTCTTTTGCAGATTTCTTTACATATCTTTCTTTGAGAACATGCATTGATAAAGCTTTTTTTTCAAGATCCAGAAATGATTTTTCTTTTAATTTCGGATATGAAATGTAAAATGCATTAAAGAAATAAATTATCGGTTAAAAAATGGGGGTCACCGATCTTTTTAGGGAATTGTGGCTTTAAAACGTGAAATACAAGTAAATAAATATACTACAGATACAGGGAACCCTAGCTACACTTTTGTATGCCTTTTTTTGTAAACATTGATTTTAACGTAATTAAGTTTGCCCGAATGTAACCAAAGATGTTTTGAAGTAACATAAAATTGTCATAAAATGATATTTTTTTTAAACGGTACGTATAATGGATGAAATTATAACTTATAAGATGTGCGCAGTAAAAGTGCGCAATGCAAAACTGCGGAAGTACCTTAAACGTAAGAAGTTTAATCAAGCATATCGATGAATTAAAAACATACCTTGACAAACAACAATTTGACATAATTAGCCTAAATGAAACAATGCTAAATCTGTCTGTTCCAAACCACGAAGTTGTTAGAAAAGACAGAAACCGGCATGGCCGGGGCGTAGCAATTTACATACGAAATTCAATAAACTACATTAATAAGAGACGATCTATTTGACGAAAACCTTGAGACAATCACAATCGAAATCTCTAAACCAAAATCTAAACCCTTTTTAATAAATTGTTGGTATAAGTCACCTGATACACCACTAGAATTGTTTAATAACTATGAAGATTTAATTACTAAAATGGACTCCGAAAATAAAGAAGTTATTTTGATTGGGGACTTCAATTGTGATTGGTCTCGCCTAATTAACAATAAAGCTAATGTCCAGACAAACAAACTTGCCGAACTTGCAGGAACTTTTCAATTTGAGCAATTGATTAATGAACCAACACGAATTACGTCCACAACGAAAACGTTAATAGACTTAGCATTCACAAATAAACCGGAATTAATAAATGGTTCAGGAATCATCCATCTGGGAATTAGTGACCATAGTTTAATTTATATCCAAAGAAAAATTTCTATTCCTCGTAATGACCCAAAAGTTATTAAAACAAGACAATTCAAGCATTACAGCGTGAACAACTTTAAATCAGATATTTTCATCTATTTACACAACGGAATATTTTGGGATACCATGCTTGATCCAAATATAATGTGGAAAAAATGGAAAACAACACTTTTAATAATCGCGGATTTTCACGCTCCCGAGACTACCAAAAAGGTTAGAAGTGAGTATGCTCCATGGATCACAAATAATATTAGAGAAGTTATGAAACAAAGAGATTTTTTGAAAAACAAAAGCAGTGAAAACACAATCGAAACAGTTTCATGATGCCTATAAGCGAATACGTAACGATCTAAACAGATTAATTAAAAATACAAAAGCGACTTATTTTAGGAACACTCTGAATGGATGCTAAAAAAATCGCAAAGAAATGTGGAAAACGATTAATAAACTTGCAGGACAAAAGTCAAAAACAACTTTAATATCGGAAATCCAACATGACAACCAAAATGTGACAAAACCAGAGGAGATCGCAAATAGCTTAAACGCGCATCTCAATGAGGTAGCATCAAACCTAGCAAAAGACATTCCACAAAGTTCCAAGACGGCAGAGTCTTACTTAACCTCATCCAACGCACGGTTTGATATTCAAAACGTCTTATTAACAAAAGTATTTAAATTGCTTTCGACGATAAAAACATCCAAGTCAGCAGGCCATGATAGAATATCCGGCAAACTTCTGAAAGATGCGGCTGAAGTTATAGCACCCACATTAACAGCCATATTTAATGCATCTATAAATGCGGGTGTATTTCCTGATGACTTTAAAACTGCAATCATTTCATCCATTCATAAGTCTGGAAGTAAAACAAATTGCGATAATCATCGCCCAATCTCTGTTCTATCACCAGTTTCTAAAATATTTGAGAAATTAATTATCGAACAGCTTGAAACGTATCTGGAATCTAACGGCATACTTACGGAACAGCAAGCAGGATTCAGAAAAAACCATTCCACAGAAACCTCCCTACTTAACATTACAAACCAATGGTTAATGAATATGGACAAGGGTTGTTTGAACGGTGTTATTTTTCTGGATTTCAAAAAAGCGTTTGACTGCGTTGACCGCCATATATTAATTAAGAAAATACATATCTATGGAATAAGAGGACATACACTTGCATGGTTTCAATCTTATCTTACAAATAGGACTCAAATCTGCAAAGTCAACCAAGCAATGTCTGAGGCAAGGACTGTTAAGTGTGGCATACTTCAAGGTTCAAACCTAGGCCCACTGCTGTTCTTGCTTTATATAAATGACCTACCAAATTGTCTGATATGAGTCTGTCTTCAGAAAGTATGTTTGCTGATGACACAAACATTTCAACTCACGGTGATACTGGCAATGAAATACAAGAAGGCCTAAACGCAGACTTAGAAAATGTGCATCAATGGCTACTTGCAAACAAACTTACACTCAACAAACAAAAAACTGAATATATGATTACCGGCTCACGACAACGTATATCAAATAAAATAAGGGATCCTAAAATTGAATTCGGTGAGTCAGAAATTAAACGTGTTCATAAATCAAAAACTTTAGGAGTCATTATTGACGAGCGTCTTTCATGGATCGACCAAATTCAAAATACTGTAACGAAAGTTTCAAAAGGAATAGGGATGATGCGAAGAATGAAACAGTTTGTTCCCAAATCAACATTATTGAAAATCTACAATGCCATTGTGTTGTCACACTTTGATTATTGTAGCTTTGTATGGGGCAACTGTTGTGAATATCTAATTGATAAACTTCAAAAATTACAAAATAGAGCAGCGCGAATTATCACTGGTAGTACATACGATGTAAGTTCTGAGAACGTTTTAAATTAAAAGAGTTAAACTGGCATCCCCTTAAAAATGGATACAAAAACAATAAGACGAGCTTCTTGCATAAACTAAGAAATGACGCACTGCCATCATCTTTAACAAACAAACTTTATGAAAAAGAGCTTTAGTTTGCTGCATCACTTCGGAACAGCCTGCCCACTGCAGCTAAAGAAAATCGCATTGCCTTAAACAAATTTTAATGTATTCTTGCCGGTACATGATTTCAGTAATATACATATACTTGTTTGTAAATATTTTTATCTAAGCTTTAATATGTGTGTAATATTATATTAGGAAATTTTATTAGTGTGATGCATGTAAACGGCCCCTTGAAAAGCAGGTGTATATATGAGCCCTGAAGGGTTACAGTTTTAAATTATCATTGTCATTGTCATTGCCATTGCCATTGCCATTGTCATTGTCATTGTCATTGTCAAGATTGGGGACTGTGCTAAATTAAAGGATTTTAAAAAAATTTGGTTACTCATAAACCATCTTACTGGTAAGAATAAGAAATCTATCAGTATTACAGAAATAACTGTTGATAATAACAACATTACCGATTCCAAACTAATTGCCGAATCCTTAGTGAATATTTTTTTAATATTGGCCCTAAACTGGCTTCTGAAGCAAGAGAAGAATTCCTTGCTCAGTATGCGACTAACTATAATCTCAGTCCTACGATAGATCCTATAACAGATTCTACATTTTATTTTCATCATATTCATATTAATAACATTGCTCAGGCATTAATGAGACTTAAACCAAACAAATGTGCTGGTCTTGATAAAATCCCAGCAAAAGTTCTTAGGCTTTCTGCGGATATCATTGCTCCCTCATTAACCTACATTTTCAACCTATCACTTGATACTAATATCTATGTTGATGAGTGGAAACGTGCGCAAGTAATCCCAATCTATAAATCAGAAGATAGACGGAAATGTGAAAAATATAGACCAATTTCTAGACTCCATATTGTAAGCAAAGTGTTTGAAAGGGAGGTATATTTCGACAGCTGTATGTATCGCTCTGATAACTCACTTCTATCTAAATTTCAATCAGGTTTTCGCCCCAAACACTCAACTCTATCTGCTTTAATACGAATGTGTGACGATTTACTGAAAAACATGGATAACGGAGAATTAAATTTTGTAGTTTTCGTTGACGTTAGAAAAGCCTTTGATTCCATAAATCACGAGATACTGTTAGACAAAATGCACAATTTCTTCGGAATAATGGGAACTCAATTAAAATGGTTTGAATCATATTTGAATAATAGAGTACAGCAATGTTTGATTAATGGACAACTTTAGATTCCGAAAACGATTACATGTGTAGTTCCCCAGGGGTTTATCATGGGTCCTTAATTTATTATTTTTATTATATATAAATGACATGCCTGATTCATTAAGCTACTCAGTTTCATACCTCTATGCTGATGATACAGAAATATATGCTTCCTCTAACAACTGTGATGACCTTGTAGATAAAGTGAATTTTGATCTTCAAAATATACATAAATGGATGATTGAAAACAAGCTTCAAACGCACTCTAATAAATCTAAACATATGTTTATTGGATCATCCTATAGGAAACCTATTCTAATTAATAATCAACCAATTCCAAGGACAGATAGTTACTCGTGCCTAGGCGTGAATATGGACGAAAAACTTTCCTGGGAGAAACATATTGATAATATATGTTCAAAGGTTGGTGCTGGTATTGGTGCAATGAGACGAATTAAGCCTTTTGTCCCACTACCGACATTAAAAATGTTGTATAATTCCATCGTGCAGTCTTACTTTGATTATTGCAGTCCGTTATGGGATAATTGCGGTATTAGAATGAAAAACAGGCTGCAAAAATATCAAAATCGGGCTGCCAAGGGTAATTATTACTGGAGAAAACTATGATGCTCGACCGGCTGATTTACTTAAAAACTTAAGGTGGGAACCCTTAGAAGTAAGACGCAACTACTTGAAAGCTATTTTCATGTATAAAATTAATGGCCACACCGCACCAAATCTAAAAGAATCGTTTCGATCAAACAACGAAATAGATCATTCTTACCATCTCAGAAATAGAGAAACTGACTTAGCACTTCCTATATGCCAAAGAAAGAATTCGGCAAGAGGACCTTTAAATATAATGGGGCCTTACTGTGGAACAATCTTCCGCAGGAGGCAAAAAATTAAGAATCGTTAAGCTCTTTCAAAACAATTTTGAATCAGAGAATTTGTTGAATCTGGCTCATCAAAATATATTAACCTCTAGGCAGTAGGCCTACAACTGTGCTATTATTCACTTGTTGCTAATGTTTTTTTATCCTGTAAATAGTTCTAAGTGACGCCCTTCATGAAAATCAGCTTGTAATGTTGTTGAGGCTAGTGTGAATAAATAAAGTTTGTATGTATGTATATATTCTAAAATTTTCACACGAACGAGGTCATTCAAAGGCGACGACAACATTTAACTCGCGAGCAGTTTCTTGCCAAAACGGTTTGAAATTGAACCAAATCGGTGAATATTAATAATATATCAATCTCCTCAGCATATTACAAATCAAATATCGAAAATTCCAACGCCCCGCAAATTAAAAATATTTCACTCAAATTGCTTGACAACACTCCTTCTACTGACGCCATGGTGGTCCCTTCAAAGTGGCAGCCGAATTCCAAAGTTGGCTTCATTTCCTATAGGTACAGAAGCTCTATCCAGGTTCTTTATTTCTAAACCAGTGTTGATAACATGTTTATGTATGTAATATTTGCGTGCAACACTACTTTATAAATATTGGTGCCTATGTTCATGCAGAACGAATATCATCACTTCGAATATCACAACTCACCTCAGGACTCAGTAACTCTCAATTGTAGATTACTGACAAAGTCTACACTTCTTTTCTATATATTTTTGCTTTGGAAAATATTAGACAAACATATGAAAATACAATTCAGGTCGCTCAATACAGTTGAAAAAAATGGAAAGTTCACGTTTTAAACGCGTATTTTTAGACAATTATTACTTGTTGATAAACAAAAACTACCATACTTATATAAAAAAAAAACATCCAAAGAGTTTGAACTTTCCCACAAAAGTAACGCAACTGCCGTCGCTATGGCAACAATGACGTTTCAAGATGGCGGATATTTTGCCTTTAAAGTAATTTAACTCGTAAACGACATCGGTGACCCCAAATTTTATTTCAAAAAATTATTTCTCTCAGTATAATCAATTATTTTAACAATTTAAAAAAAAATTCTGTACAGCAAAAAAAAAATAATCACCTTTACGTAATTTAAAAAATTTCGGCTCCACAGAATGTTTTTAAAATTGTCAAAATAATTGATTATACTAAGAGAAGTCATTTTTTAAAATAAAATTTGGGAATCACCGATCGTTTACGAGTTAAATTACTGTAACCGCCATCTTGCCATAGCAACGGCAGTTGCGTAAATTTTGTGCAAAAACTCAAACTCTTACGATGTTGTTTTATATAAGTAAGGTACCTTTTGTTTATCAACAAGTAATAATTGTCCAAAAATGCACTTCTAAATCGTGAATTTTCACTGTAAACTGTATTGAGCCACCTTGACTAATTATCACTTTGTTTATTTTCGTGCGATAGGCAAATAGCTTGGAACTAGTGCGCATGTTGATGGGTTTTGTTGGGCCAACAGAAAGCCTGACGCAAATCCACTATTCCTAAAACGTGACTCATATGTTTTTGAGATCCATATCTTTTACCTTTATCGGTGGATACCAATGTTAATAGCGAAGAATGTTAATTGGCATACCTGAAAATTGGAAAAAGAAAATTTGACATTTTGAGCTAATGCGCTTAGTTTTGATGTTAGTTACGTTGTCCAAAAAACATACGGATGTTTTTATACTATAGGGAACCCATACTAGTGTTATAATGACGCAATAAAACTATTTATTATATGGACAATGGTGTTTTACTGGAAACTAAAACACTCGTAGAACTCATACGTCACCTGACTCTTCCACAGTCCCTCATTCGTACGCGCGGTCGCGTAATTTGAGCAGCGCTGATTTGAGGGACTGTGAAATCGTGACTCGAAAACTTGCAAAAACACTCGAAAACTTGCAAATGTGCTCGAAAACCTAAAATATCGTCGAATAAGGAAGAAATCGTGGATGTTTTGGACGGTAGCGGTCCTTTGCTGTACATGGGAAGTGTTTTGTCTGAATCGTGCGAGGAATTGGAGATATTAATGGAATATTTATCTCTTGAAGACGATGATGGTGAGTGTTGACATTTTATAGCAATATGCCTTTGACTCTTTGACTGTAAAAATATAATATAGGCGAGATTTTGATTAGGTTTTCGTGTTTTATACTGTTTCATGAAAGTGATTGTACCTTACAACTTTGTAAAAGGGTAAATGCTCTATAATACGGATTATTTTTATTTAATTCTGCAGAATAATTTCCACGTGCTATTTTATATAAATATATACGCCAATTATAAACATGTCAACAAATATAAAGTCAACAAGAAGTCCAACCTCGTACAAGAAGTCCTGCTCAGGGGAAACATGAACTGAATCGCCCTCGTCTAACCGTTTTGCCAAAAACGAATATATTTTATGTTGGTCTTAAGAGTTAAGCTACTCTTTGTTTTTGCCAAATGTGTAAGACTTTTCACTTTTGCTTAAAATAGCAATATGTGAAATATGCATGCTGAATAATAATTTTTTTAATGAAAATTATTTAGCCAATGGGGATCTCAAGCTCCTTGGTTAGTCCTCTGCATTTGAGGTTTAGGAGTTTTGAACACTGAGGCCTCCATGTTATGGATTTATTTTAACCTCTGTGTTTTACCTTGACCCCCCACCCCCCTCAGGTTCAGCATTACCACTTCATCACCAGTAAATAGGGTTGGGCAATATTTTGATATTATCAATGATACACGATTGTACGTACTCAATATCATCATATTGAAAGTAAAAGCTGAGTCGTGATGGAGTTATTGTGAACTAACAAAGCTTAATAATATAAAATCTTAAAAAAAAACTATGTTAATTAATCCATCCCTGAATTGGAAACCAAAATTTCATATGGTATGTAGGTAACAATTGCAAGTGGAATTAATAGTTGAAACAACCTATTTTCCCTCATGCATATATAACTTGATGTGGTACGAGGGTAGCTAAACTAACAATGAGGAGCCAACCATGTTAATTTCTTTTGAAAACAAAGTTGTCCATGAGGTCATAAACACCCAATACTTTATTATTTTGTTTGATAATTGCCAAGGATTTCACACAGAATCCCCTCCCCCAATACCCCCATGTGAATCCATCCCACTACTACACGAAATAATACTTCTTTCCCTCTGAGTCAGAGACGGATTTTCATATTTTCGTTCGGGGGGGGGGGTGGATAAATATCTGGGGGGGTGCTGCTGCTTACTTTGGCCGGAGCGTGGTGGCAACGCCCGGAAAGGCCAAGGAAAAAGTTTATTTTTTTCTAGGCCTGCATGGCGAGATCTGAGACCATAATATTGGTATTTTACAAATTTAGTAGTAAGAATAATCAAATATGAAACTATCAAATCAAAATATATGTAATTTGCGGGGGTACCAAATGCCTTTGGGGGGTGCATATCGTTTCTGGGAGGGTGCGCACCACCCCCCCCCCCAGAAAATCTGTGCCTGCTCTGAGTTAACAATGAAAGCATTTTTTTTACAGATCTCTGCATTATGTTTACAAGTTCCTTGAAGATATGATTATAATAAATGGTGACATATGTCTGTACATTGTAGAGCATTTTGTACATATTTTGTACTTACTGAGGCCAAATAAAAATAATAGTTGGTTTCAGGTTTCACAGCCATGTTTTATATGGGTAGGTAGGTCGGAAAAGCATTTTATTTAAAAAAATATTTTATCTCAACTGTCACACATAATCAGACGTGCCACACAGGATCAACCGCGAGCTACACATGTTTTGCGAGAAACAAATGCATCAAGGATTAACATGACTAGATAATGATTAAATTATGAGCAAACAAAATACTTTGTAGCAAATGAGTCTGATGACTATTTATATATTCTGATATTTACGAAAAGATGATCCCTACTGGGAAATGTCAATAAAATGTTTATGGTCGGTCATATTTTTGACAGGTCGGTCAGAAACCTGAAACCAACTATTATTTTTATTTGGCCTGAGTACTTTTTATAATATTCAGACAATAGATAAATTTGTATCATAATTAAATTTGTATCAAAATCTGTAATTTAATAAATATTCATTCCATCTTGTTTCATTTCTTGTTTTCT